GAACAATGAGAAATGCACCTGCAAAGAAAGATTAATCTGCACCAAGTTATTACATTAAAGTTCTTAAGTTATCTGCTTTAAAACAAACACTGCACCAGCAATGGATAATTTAAGCAGACCCTCTGGCATCACATTTATGCTCTCTCCCATTTATGTTTTGCATATTCTGACGTTATTAACGCAGGACATTGACAGTTAGTTTACTTGTGTATTTCAAGCAAATTGTTGCAGCAAGTATTCCACCTGTTCCCCTTTATCATTAGTTCAGCTATAACACTGCAGCACAATTTTAAAGCAGATGCCAGAGATTGGCACTCCTTTTTTGATAAACCTGGTCAATAAGGTGTAATTTTCCCAATGTTGTCAAAAAAAATAGCAAGATCTGGCTGACACTTTTACCAACAATATCAATCTTTCTCCAGGATAGAGAAAGAGTGCATTTATTAAAAACAATCTCCTATATTTGCTTTCCTCTTTAAATCTGGTGTACTCTTGAGATTACACAGAAATCAGGTGGTTAATAATAATTAATGTGGTATTATTAGGGTAACTAACTGCCCTGCAGGACTCTCTTACAGGCCAAATAATGGAAGCATTGTTCCGCAAGGTTTTAAAGAAGATGGCTGTTGTTTTCTTTCCTTAGGGTTTTCTTTATGCTTCGTATGTCATGTTGCTTTTTTTCTTGATGAATGCAGCATTACCTTTCCCAGCTGCATACTTTGCAGCACTATTGGATTTGTACCACACAATTTGTACAGCTGAAACTTTTCCTGGAGAACCCTAGTTTGTTTTTTGTTGCAGTGTGGTCCGGACATAAAACTCCGGAGCAGGTCATCCTGTATTTCTTCTGGCTTTCAGCAGAGATAAATAGGTGAACAGCTATGGGAAAAAGAAAACTTTACAAAAGCAAATATAGTTGTCAGATGTTTGCACATCTTTGTTACCTTTGCTCATCCAGAATTAAATTTGATATTTGAAACCTGCTGTTCTTTAACTACAAAAGTGCTGTTTCATCAAATTAAACTACTTTTATGACTGTTTGCTAAAATTTGCTGGATTGAAAAGTTTTCATTTTGTTCTAGCCATATATCATTTACTCTTGAGTCCCTCCAAGTAATATTTTCTTCCCCTGTCTCCCAACTCTGAGCTTATAATATTCTTTATGCAGTACTCTCCGTAGACCTTGGTGTGACGCACACCATCAGGAGGAGCGGGCTGTTGGATTAGATTGGAACATGGTTTGGAGTGTGTGGTGAATAGTTGATTTGAGTTATGCTGTTTGTCATTGATTTGCACTAGATATTAAACAGTGCAAAGTTCTAACTTTCTGGGAAGTAGTGCCTATCTAGTCTAAGTCTCTGACATGAGATCATTCTTAGAGACTTTCACAGAGTTTCCCAGTCATAGTAAATCAGAGGTAGACAAACAGGAGGCTGGAAGAACACAGCAGGCCAGGTATCTTCTGGTGGAAAGGAGCAGTCAACGTTTTGGGTATTGCCCTTCTTCAGGACTGCATTTGCAATGAGTCCTGAACAAGGCTAATACCTGAAACGTTGACAGCTCCTTTCCTCCAGATGCTGCCTGGTTTGCTGTGTCCTTCCAGCCTCCTGTTTATCTCCCTTGGATTCCAGCATCTGCAGTTTTTTTTGTCTCACAATAAATCAGAGTTTGTGGATGCGTCACTCTCCTGATTGTACCAGCAGCAAACTCTCCCAATATTCGCCATTGTTGGCCTTGGAAGATCTGGCCCTCGTTAGCTCTTTTTGCTGTGTGAGTTAGTGAATGTTTCCAGCATTTTGTGTATTTATGTCAATGTTACCTAATATTTAACGTAAATTCTTTTGTCAACTTTTCTGGTTATGAGAATTGAATCAGAGTGACATTAAGCTGTGCTGGAAATAACCATTTCGAAGTTACTTCAAAAATGTTAGTTTTGATGACACTTGTGAAGATTTTCAACTTTGTTCCCTAAATGTCAGCATCACAGGGAATTGCTGAGAAACTTTGTCCTCATCATTTGCATTATTGTATGTTTTAAAAATCTAAATCAATTGGAGCTGTCTTGTCTCGGCCTTAACCATGCCTTTTCTGACTAATTATGAGAGAATTAGCTGGTAAACGGGCAATCTGCTAAAGTAACTGTAATATTGTATTTGGAAGCATTAAAATTGACGTTTAAAGGTTCTCATTTACTTCAGTCTTCCTGCATTGAAAATACTGTGGAAGAATGCAAGTTCAGCTAATAAACTTAATACTTTGTGCTTGTGCCTGAGATTTGGGAAAGGTTGCATGAAAAATGCTGAATGTTTGACCAGATGGCACTAAGACTATTGTCAGTTTGGAGTTTTATTTGGGCAATAAATACTAATCTGCCAGTGATGTCCACATCACGTGAATGAATAAAAACATTCTTTTAAAATAGTTTAAATGATGTTAGAATTTTTTTACTTTATTTTCCAACAAGGGATTTTCGTTGCCAACAGCTATTAAAGGAAGACTTTGGGCAGTAATATTCAAAACTCACCCACATTTCATAATAAACTGTACAAAAAAAGGGCATCATTGTTGAAGTGGAGTTTAGGAGATTGAGGGGTGAAATTATTCAGGTTTATAAAATCATGAGGGGTATAGGTAAGGTGAATGGCAGGTGTCTTTTCCCTAGGGTGGGGGATTTCAAGAGTAGGGGCATATTTTTAAGGTGAGAAGCGAAAAACCTTTATTAAAAAGGGGCAATTTTTTTTATATACAAAGTGGTTCATGTGGTGGATGCGGGTAAAGTTCCAACATTTAAGCTATTTGGATAAGTTCATGAATAAGAAATGTTTGGAGGGATATGGGTCAAGCGCAGACAGGTGGGACTAGTTTTGTTTTGTATTATAGTTGGCATGGACTGGTTGGGCCAAGGGTCTGTTTCTGTGCTGGTATGATACTCTGACTCTATGGCTATAAAACAGCATTTAGTGCAAATCCAGTGATCCTAAGTAAATATTTATTGCAAATGATACAATCTAATCCTAAATCTGTACAGATTTAATACAATATGAACTGTGTGAACTTAAATGCATTGTATCAAGTACAAATTCCGCTTCTAAATGCATACAGATTGCATACAGTTCAAGGTCTTTGATTCTAAATGCATACACATTGCATACAATAAGAAGTGTGGACCTGAATAAGTAGATTGCATCCATTACAAATTCTGATCTTAAATGCTTTCCTTTGTTAACATTCCTTCTCAGCTTGACCCCAGCTTTATGACTCCATTCAGAAATCTGGAACACATACTCTAAATCCCCTAGGTGTATTTTAAATTGCATTTCAAACAGCTCTGTATTATGTAGCAGCTCACGATCAGACCATACAGCGGCTCAATAAAAAATATATAGTGGGATAAATTTATA